GCAGAAATATGCTTTTCCTTATGAGATATCTGTATTCAGAATATAGGTCTGATATGGAATATTATGAGGCCTGGTCAATACCAGCAGGCTTATATCCAACATGAGCCAGTAGTAGCAGAAGGAGATACCAGTTTTCATTTCTCATGGCAGGAGCTGCAAACACTCTCACTTCCTTGCCGTGATTGCCATCCAGAGAGGCCGGTGAGGCCCCTGGCAGTTTGCCTCATTGTATTGTCGGAGCCCTGCTGCAGCAGCTTACTAGCCCACATAGCATGAGGTATCCCGTAAAGGCAAGAGTACTGCAGTCAAATGATTTGGGAAATAAAGGGGAATAAAAGTATGCAGGTTTCCTTCCTATAGGAATTCTCTGAACCTGGCTACATGTTTTCTTTTTCCCTACATTGCAACTTGAGGGAGAAAATTGCTGATGTCTCGTATTCTCTTACTGGTTCTGAAAAACCCATCTGAAAAACGCTGATCTCGTTGATTTCTAGTTTCTTGAAATATTGCATAATGCACAGCTAAGTGTTTAGTATGCATTCGGAACACCACCAGACTTTACACCCGCTTCAGCCAGAGCATGTTAACTCTAAGGGACAATAGACAATATGATGAAACCACCCAGAATAATTCTTCCAAAAGGTTCAGGAGGTTTTGATTGCATTGTGCTGTGTTCTTTCTTCATCTAAACAAATAGAAAGCTGACAAAAAGAGAAGAGTCATCCTTTCCCCACCCCTCCTCCCCTTTTAAAGGGCTTAAAAAATGTACTTCAATCACAATTCGTTCAACAACTATTTCCCGAGTGACTACTGGGTGCACCACACCCAGAGAAGAAAATGCAATGTCCATACTGGAAGGCCAGTCCCCTGGGAGCATCAGCAATGATGTCTGGGACTGAAATGGCTCCTCTGGTCGCCCACCTGTGATGCAAGATTTGTGGAGAGGCTCCTCAGGTGAGGCCTGGGAGGTCTGGGCATTTTGAGCTGTGCCAGCACCAGCGAGTATGGCTATTTTTGTGGATACAGAAAATGGTTGTGGCCTAAAGGCCTGGGAGAGCTGTGGGCTGTCTCTGTAGTGGGTTAGTGAATGGTCAAAGAGGATCTAGGTGACGTGTTTTCTGCCTCTTCTAGTAGTCAGAATCCAGAAGGTTCTTTTGTCCAGCCCCGGTACTTACATGGTCTCACTGAGAAATGCATATGGTGACTGGTAAAACCACCAGAGAGACTGAAGCAGAGGAGTATGCTGAGAAACATATTCAAGACTGTATGAACGTGTTCTATAAAAAAGTGTGGAGATATGCCATCATAGATCAGGAAGGATTGTACTTTCTTTTGACTTGGTAGAAGTGTCCAGTGCTGTTAATGTAGCAAAGGGCTCTGTGTGCTTTAAAATCTCTCTATTGATTCACAAGCTTGGGCTGGATCTGTAGCAAGCTCCCCACTTTGGGGAGGCATCCCCATAGACTTTCAAGGGGTGCTGAATGCCGTCGCAGGCTATGGTTGGTCCGACAAGAGCTCAGCTCCCGCCGTGCTGGTCTGCAGAACTCCCCTAAGAGACCCAGGGGCTCTGCTCTGCTCCTCTCTGCCTCCTCTGCAGCTGGCGTTACCTGCACTTCACAGCTGGCTGGTCTCAACCCTCCTCCACCCCCACGGATGTTTAAGAAGCAGGAATCAAAACACAGAGGAGGGAGAGACTCACCTCCAAGAGTAAGTGGGAAGGAGTGAATGGACCAAGGATAAAGCCAGGAATGAGCTGAAGGATTCCAGGAATGACAAGTCAGAGGACCTTACAAGCTGTGGCTGGAACCCTAAGGTCAGGAAGAGCATTGGCTCCTGATGTCACTTCCTACCCTCTTGCAGATGGCTGTGAGGACCAAATGAGGTCCTATCTGCCAAGCACCAGGGACTTTCTGGACCCTGTGGCCCAGTGGCCTCTGTCAATGCATTTCCCTGCCTGCATCACTCCTTCGTGCCTCCGTGCCTGTGCACGACCAGGATGCCCTTCTCCTTCTCCCCCTGGAGAACACGCTTGTCCCAGGAGACCCAGCTCAGATGTCAGCCCACCCCCGACTACATCAGGAAGTCAGAGGCAGGGTTCCGTGCCCCAGAGTATTTGTCACACTGTGCTGTGATGATCTGTTTCCACATCTGTCTCCCCCTATCGCACTGAGAGCTTCACACTCACCTTCATACCTCCCTGGTCTCTCCTGATGCAATGCCTTCTTCAGGACAGGGCTGCTCAGGAGATAGGTGTTGATGGGAATGAATGAATGCATGCATAAATAAAGAAATGTTTTTATGGTCCAAATGGAACAATGTGGGTTGGAAAATAATGCAGATAGAGGAAATTAGACTCCCTACGGATTTGGGAAGATCTTTATTTTGTTGTGCAAATAAAAAAACATTGTAGTCTGCCAATTTGAAACATACTCTGTCTTCCAAGAAAGAGATTTTGTCATTTGGACAGGGAATGGACAAGGAGAAGGCAGCCTTACGAACACAGCTTGACTATAATAGAGAAAGCCTGGCTCCATTTTTGATATTTGGCTCCTGACAACTTTCAAACTCTACCTTTCTATTCCTCTTTTGTTCCATATCTGGGCAATCTGATAAAGTGTGTACACCCCCACCCTTGGTACCGGAGGGGAAGTTCAAACCACACAAATCCCAACCTGTGCATGGTAACCTTTCTCTTGGCCCCACCCCACCCCAACCACAATAAAAACCAAAGCCGAGGGGCACCTGGGAGGCTCGGCTGGTTAGGGATCCAACTCTTGATTTTGGCTTGCGTCATAATCCCAGGGTCGTGGGATCGAGTCCCAGGTCGGGCTCCACACTGAGCATGGAGCCTGCTTAAGATTCTTTCTCTCCCTCTGCCCCTCTCCCCTGCTATTATTTATCAATAAATAGATGAAATAAATAAACTAAAGTCACTCTCTTCTTCCTTCGCTCAAGTCATTTCAGACTAGCTTGGATACTTGCCTCTACTCTGCCCACAAAGGCTCATCATTTGAGTCACAAACTTTTTCATATCCTCTTGATTCATGTGTGGCATCATCACCAGTCTGGACATCAGAGCCTTTTTTTTTTTTTTTTGAGGAGGGTTGGGGGAGGCCTAGATCCTGCTCTGCACAGGGCAACCGCAGACACTAACTTCCTGGAAAATTTTGAAATATACTCTGAATCTAAGAACAGAGCTATGTTGTCATTAAGGAAGGGGGTGGGAGAAGGTGGCCCCATAACACAGTATTATTTTCTGAAAAATTTCAGAGAACACTTTTTTGGACAATTGTGCCAAAGAATTCCTCCCTGTCTTAGTTTCTGCCTCATTTTGACCATGCAGTCAAAGGGCTTCTTTATGAACCAAGTAAGACATTTATTTTTGTTTTCTTGATTCTAAAGTGATTTTCTTAGTTTTACGGGAGATACTCCTCCAATGTTCGTTGACCCATCCCCTTCCAGAAACAAATCAGAAGACTGAAGACTCAGCCAGATTCCACATCAGATAAGAAGTGAAAATCAAAGTAGCCCTAACAATTCCAAAACTAACCAAATCCAGAACTAAAACGAAGTAACTCCAGAGCTCAGGGTGCTGGTTATTAGGCATGATTTCTCAGCCTCCGGCCCATCCTTCTAATCTCTGTTCTGTGGTCTGGGGCCACTCACCTCCTTTGCCAGCTGCTCCCCGTTGGCAGACTGAGGAAGGACCAAGGAGGGGTGGGACCCCGTGGGCTGACTTCCTGCCAGCCTCCCCCTGGCAACTGCTCTTCACCCTGAGAGCAACAGCTGGTTCCAGTAGCCGTTTGCCATTTTCCCAGCATGCCCACAACCAGCCTCCTCCCCCCCCCCCCCCCCCCCCCCCCCCCCCCCCCGAGACTCCAGCACCAGCTGGCAGCACCCTTTATGGAGAGTTCTGCATCCAGCTCTCTGACCAACTTCCGCCTCCTGGGACACCTGTCCCGTGGGGCAGCACCTCCCCCTAGACCGTGGGCCACCTCCAATCTCTTCCCTTTGCTCCCTCAGCCAGCGGGCTGGTAGCTGCTCCTCGTGGTGAACATCTCCATGATCTCAAATGATCACTTTTCTTTTCCTATTTTAGTTCTCTACTAGCTGAGTAACAATTCTTTATATTGAATTGTTTCCATTATAATCAGTATGCTGTCTCCATCAGTGATTGGACCCGGACAGTGATTCCAAGATGAAGCAATTTTTTAAAGTTTCTTTATTTTAAGAGAGAGATGAGAGCATGGGCACACAAGCAAGCAGGGGAGGGACAGAGAGAGGAAGAAAGAGAATCCCAAGCAGGCTCTGCACTCTCAGCACAGAACCCAGGGCCGGGCTCGATCCCACAAACCCTGACATCATGACCTAAGCCTAAATCAGGAGTCAGCCGCTTACCAGACTGAAACACCCAGGAGCCCCTCTAAAACTAAGCAATTTTTGAAATAAACTTTAAATAAGTAAAAATAAGGAACAGATAAACTTTTTTACTAAAAAAGGAAAGAAAACAATTGGCGATAGCTCCGAAGATAACTCAAACTACATAAATAAGGTGAAAATTTGACAAAAATTTCAGGAAATAAAAAAACACCTAAAAATTAGGTCTGAAAACAATTCAAAAAATAACTAAAAGCTAATTCAAAAACTAAATAAACGTAAAAATACAGAGCTAAAAACCACAAGAAGTAAAAAAAAAAAGTCACACTCAAAAAACTCAAAATTACAATAACCGAAAAGAGAAACTACGAAAACTAAATAACCAAAACACTGGGTCTAAAACTAAATGTTAAGTAAATAATTCTAAAAGCTAATTCAAAAATAATCGAAGATAAGTAACTGAAAACCAGCTCGAAAATAAACTGAAAACTACAAAATTAGATAACTGGAAAATTAGCTCAGCATAAATGAAAATTACAATAACTACTAAAACTAAAAAGCAAGTAACTCTAAAATTAATTCTAAAACTAAAAAATCTACACGTAAATCTCTCTGAAGTCAACATGGACCGAACCCTCCCTGAAACTGAACCTCCGCGGCGCGGACCAGACACTGGCGCGGACTCGAGAAGGGACCCAGCGCACACGCTGGCGCCCGAAACCGACTCGGAATCCAGCCGCACTCGGCTGAGCCCCACCGGGCGTAGCCTCGCTTAAGCGACTGAGCCACCCAGGCGCCCCAGGGGCGTGGCTTCCGCAGGCGTCAGTACCGAGCCCAGCGCTCGCGCAGGCGCCTGAACGGCCCCGAAGGCTACCGCGCCGAGGCCCGGCGCTCGCGCAGGCGCGTGTGGCCCAGTCCCGAGGTTCGCGGACATCCGCCCCCAGCCGCGGCGCTCGCGCAGGCGCGTGTGGCCCAGTCCCGAGGTTCGCGGACATCCGCCCCCAGCCGCGGCGCTCGCGCAGGCGCATGTGAAGCAGCCTCGAAGTTCGCGGGCGTCTGCTGGGAGTCTCCGGATCGCTTGGGGCGTGTGGAGCAGCCCCCAGGTTCTCGGGCGGCCCTCAGCGGGAGCGTGGGCGCCGCGGGCAGGTCGTGGACCCTTCTTTGGGCTTCTAGAAGGCGACCCTGTCTCTCCCCCACCCCCACCCCCAGGGCGGCTGATCCGCGGGGTCCGAGGCGGCCCCTAGGCTGCTTTCCCGCTTAAGGGCGGGCCGCGCCCTCGGGGTCCGCAGCAGGCAGTGCCCGGCAGGGAGGCGGCGTGGGGCGCCCCGGCGGAGCCCGGGAGCCGCGGTGTTCCAGAACCAGTGTCAGTTCTCGGGGCAGAGGGTGCCTAGGCGTCCTTCCCTGGCCCGCTCTGCTTTTGCCGGAAAACCAGTGGCGTCCCCGCAGGGCCGAGCAGGCCCGCGGGCACCGCAGCGCTCTCCGGAGTTCTGTTGGTTGGCCTGCGATTCCAAGAAAGTCAGAGGAGCAGCGGCTGCAAATTCGCTCACTGTTTGTTCTTTCCTCTTCCACACTCGGGTGTTGTCCTTGCCTGTGAGCGAGAGGGCTGCATCTCCAGGGGCCGTGGCCCCAGACGAAGCCGGCCGGCTGGGCTGGGGTGGGGGGGTTAGGGGTCCTGGCCAGGGACTACGGAGCCACCCGCCGGGAGGCCAGGGGTGAGGCCAGGCTCTGAGACCTCTCCCAGCCATGGAGCACCCAGGGGCCGGCAGGGCTGGGGGCAACGCGGGAACTGGGAGAAAATCATGATCAGGCGCCTGTGCCTGCTTTCCTCTTTCTCCTCGGGGCCCTGCCCCAGGGGGAAGGGACGCTCGGACTGGCACGAAAGGTCACACATTTGGCCACTCGTTGAAGGCATTATTTCAGGGTCACTTGGGCCTTTCCCTACCTCCAGGAAGGATTTGCGGGGCCTCGAAAGAGAAGGGATCTTCCCAGCGCTTCAGGACCCGGATGCCACCTCCCTGCTGGGGACTGTCCATGTGGCCTTGCTGGCAATTCCACAGGTAAGGGATGGGGTCCCCACTCTAGTCTCGGACCGTGTTTTCCTAATGTCTTAAAATAAAGTTTACATCTTGACATGGTGTATTCACGAACACAGATACACCTATTAAAACAAATTTTACGCCAAACAGTACCCTCAGAGATTACGACTCTGCTTGTCTGGAAGAGCACTGAATAATGTATGGGACTGTCGGATCAGTATATTGTACACCTTAAACTAATAACGCACTGTATGTTAACTACACTGGAATTAAAATTTTTAAATGAAAAATTTAAAGGAAAAATCCATTACCCTCTGTATGAGTGATGCCCATTAGTAGTTAGAATTGTGTAATTTCATTTTTTTAAGGCTGGTATACACCCACTGAAGGGATATTTTTACTAATGGATTAAAACCCACAGTTAGAAAAAGCATCATTGAGGCACCTGGGTGGCTCAGTCGGTTAAGCATCCGACTTTGGCTCAGGTCATGATCTCACAGTTTGTGAGTTCAAGCCCCATATCGGGGCTGACAGCTCAGAGCCTGGAACCTGATTTGAATTCAGTGTCTCCTCCTCTCTCTACCCCTCCCCCACTCATCTTCTGTCTCTCAGTAATAAATAAATGTTAAAAAGAAATCCAAAAACTTAAAAATAAAACAACACCCTTATAGGGCAGGGCAGAGGAAGAAAGAAAAGAATAAACAGAAGGAAAATGGCAGGGACATGGGAAAGGTAGAACAGAGAAAGAAGTAAAGGACAGAGTGCAAAATGTGTTTTGTGGGAAGTCACACAGGTGCCTGCCATCATGTCCCTTCCAGGGCATCTGTTCTAAGATATACCACCATCCCACTCTGTGCGTGCCCTTAGGGCATCCTTTTCCATGAGACACTGGGCTACTTAGTGGCAAGGACAAAATCTTTTTTACTCTGGAAGCCCACACCTCCCAGCAGAGGAGTTCTTAGAATCAGGCATAGCCTTAGAGAACAGGCCTTAGTCAAAGCTTTCCATTTTCCAGAAGAAGAAAATGCCTTGGAGTGTCAGCCAATCAATGATTATTTGGCACAGTCAGGATTTGCCCAGTGGGTCACAAGCATCAGTTTGTCACCTACACTGAAGACAATATCTATTTTAGAGAGTTAGTGAGAGGGTTAGCACTATGCACATCTAGAACATATACATGTCTGGTGCATCATGGAAGTTCAAATAGCACCTGCTATTAATATTTTTTAAATGTTTATTCATTTTGAGAGAGAGAGAGAGAGAGATTGAGTTGGGGAGGGGCAGAGAGAGAGAGGGAGACAGAATCCCAAGCAGGCTCTGCAGCGCTCAGTGCAGAGTCTGACTCAGGGCTCAAACTCACAGCCATGAGTTGGATGCTTAACTGACTGAGCCGCCCAGGCGCCCCAGCACCTACTGTTATTATCGTTAGTAATGACAAGAGTAAAGAAACACTGGCCACGTCAGGTCTGCTCTGTCACTACCTTTTGGGGAAAATTTGGCTGCCAGTGTCTTCATCCTAGGTAAAAATGGAAGTAATCGTAGACACATAAGGAAATGACCTTAGAAATAAAGACAGAGGAGGCGCACCTGGGTGGCTTAGTTAAGCATCTGACTTTGGCTCAGGTTATAATCTCACGGTTTGTGGGTTTGGGCCCTTCATCAGGCTCTGCGCTAACCGCTCAGAGCCTGGAGCCTGCTTCAGATTTTGTCTCCCTCTCTCTCTGCATCTCCACCGCTCACATTCTCTCTCTCAAAAATAAACATTAACAAAAAAATTTTTAAAAAGAAATAAAAACAGGAAATATGTGCATACATAAATTAGCAAAAGACTAATTCAAGCACGTAGACTTTAACAAATGTTCATCTTGGCTATAGCAGCATTTTAAGTTGCTGTACATTTTTGAAAGATTAATGGAATGATTTATCTCCCCACTGATTTCAGTCAGTATCTGAGGGGAGACAGTCCTCACAGGCTCTAGCTACTCCTAGTCTGTGTGCCAAAATAAATGCAAAGAGTACTCTACAGAAATAGATAATATAAATGGAAAAGGTGGACCAGAAAAAGCCATGGTGATAAATCTCAAGATCATTCTCCCTTCCACAATCCTCACGACTCAGTTTGTAAATAAAAACATTTTAGGGAACTTAGTTTTTAGTGCTTAATGTTTAGAACACGGAGTTGTTTTACTTTACAAAAGTTAAATTAACCTATTAGTAAGCAAGTTCAGTACAGAGTTTAAATTATATACTAATCAGAGAATGCTTTTTTTTTGGGTTAACAGACATTGACAAAATCCTCCGGTCAATTATTTCGCTCTAAATTGCTCCTTTCCCTTCTTGTCCACTAGATGGCAGACTGGAACCACTGTGGCTCTGGCAGCTCTCCCTGCACAGATTTTAAATGGCCCTTCCAGATTTTGCTCTCATCTCAAGCAAAAGAAATATAAACTTTGTGAACATCTTAGGACAGTCTCCAGCATGCAAACAGAGCTATTCTGATTGGGGAGCTGGAGCTGCCTGAAAGAAGCTTCTTGTTCCTTGCCTGACGGCCTGAGCCAGGGGGCTTTCTCGTGTTCCTTTGGAGGAACATTGGACAGTGCCATTGTGGTCACATGAGTGAAAGGACCCAAGCCAGGCACTGTGCTAGGAGCTCCATCTCATTCAGTCTTCACAGAGAGACTGAGGTGTCACCTCCGTTTTGTAAAATACAACATAAAGAATTTAAGCCACACTGAGGGTAGGTAACTTTGTCCAGAAGGACAGAGCTGAGTTTGAGCCTGGAACTCCAGGACCTCAGGTACTTGTGCTTAAGCACAGTGCTCTGCCACCTACCTGGTGCTGTAACCTGGTGGATGTTAAACCACGGGGCTGATTTCTGCCTCATCTGCCCTGCTAGCAACCTAGGTCTCAAAAAAAGAGGAATCTCTGGATTAGTCTAGGTTGTCAGGCTAAATCCGGACCTTTTGCAAAGTTTTTCTCTGTGAACTAGAGTTTAAACTTGCACACTCAGACTAGTATATCTCTGAAGTGTGTATTTTCTTCCCAAACCAATCTAAGACCAAGAGGAATCAGAGTTACTAATAAGCACCAAGAGAGAACTGGCATCTTTCTTATAAATCAATGTGAAGTCTCGGAATAGTTCATCTTTCTTTCAAAGAAAAAATAATATTTACCCGAGCATGCAATTTTTGCATGCTTCATGACAAAGCTTATTTCAGGCTGAAAGAAAAAAAAAATCAGAATGAAGCCAATTTTAACTTATTTTTCACACACGCAAATTTAAGTAGGCAGGTATTAAAGGAATAAGGCCGCCGAACACATAAATCACTGTATCTATTTAAGTCTATATAAATGTTTGCTGATCTTTTTTTTCCTCCCGTATATCCAGAAAACCTTCCTGTAGTCCCGGCATATTTGGCCCTGGCGTCCTCTCCCACTTACCCACCTACCAGGCTTTGTTCGCTGTGTGCCTGATTCTGGGCGCACGCCAGCTAGCTCTTCACACGGAGGTAGGGAACGGCAGTGAGCCCACCCTCCCATTCTTCCCCGTGTGCACTGAAAGAGAATGGAAATGCATCCAAACTGTAGAAGCTGGTGGGGAGGCACACATGTCTCGAACATTGTTTGTTCAGATGTTGTCCCAGCTTCGGGAGGAACACCAGGTCTCGGCCTCCAGTGGCTCCCCACTGCCGGCACCCACCTAAAAGCCCAAGTCCTCAGCCTGATATTTGAGGCTACTCCCTCTTCCTCCTCCTGTCCTCCCACTGCATCCAGGAAGCTCTCAAGCAGGGCTCCAAATCACCACTGAACTTGCTCCTTTAGAGGCAGCTCAATGATTTGCATAGGTTCCTGCGTCCACTCTTTTTTTTTTTTAATTTTTTTTTTTGTTTTATTTATTTCTAGGAGAGAGAGAGAGAGAGAGAGACAGCGTGAGCAGGGGAGGGTCAGAGAGAGAGGGAGTCACAGACTGAAACAGGCTCCAGGCTCTGAGCTGGCAGTCAGCACAGAGCCCGACGCGGGGCTCGAACCCATGAACCGCGAGATCGTGACCTAAGCAAAAGTCGGACGCTTAACCGACTAAGCCACCCAGGCGCCCCTCCTGCGTCCACTCTTGATTCCCCGAGCAGCTGGCACGAGTTTGGGCCTGCGGCCTTCGCTTCCTGGCCGCGTGCTCGGACTGTGCCAGCACTGGCCCTTTGCCTCCTATCCTGCACGCCGTGCCACCCCGACAAAGCCGCCTGCCGCCAGAGCCCTTTCCTGGGGGGGGCCTCGGCTTTCTCCCAGTCTGAGGCCTCCCAAGTCACCGGTGGTGAGGCCGCAAGTGAAGAGTTGTTCCAGACCATAGTGCCTGCCTCCCTCCTTGATTTGTCATGCTGCCATGCCCGCCGCCCCCCCCCACCACCACTCGCCCAAGTCCCCCCTGGGTCCATAACTCCGTCTCGGCACAAGGCTGTCTACAGAGGCCCTGTATCCACATCCCTCAGCGGCTGCCAGTGTCCTTGTCACGGGGGGCCCTGTATGCCTCGCTCAGAGTGTACAGAGTTATGCCCAGCAAGCCCAGGGGTTAAAGGTGGTATAGGAATGAACGGGGGTGATGATGTCACATGTGTTAAAGCTTTGTAAAGTGCTGGGCAAACATAAGGTCCTGATATTCCGCATCCTGGAAACTCCCTCCCCCATTGCCTGATGCCCCTAAGTCTGCGTTCAGTCCCAAGAGTCTCATGTCCTCTCGGGGACCAGCCCATGGCCCAGTTCATACACACACACACACACACACCCCACCCAGGCCCCTCTGAGTCCTAGAGTGCTCGCTGTTGACATCGTTCTCGGTAGCATTTCATCAGCCCCCGCTTGGTGAGCCACACTCAGAAGATCCGGTTCTGCTGCTGCTGAAAAGTTGGGTGAAATTGACCCTCTGTTTGCCACACTGTAAAAGAAGGGGCCAGACAATGCCTCTGAGGTTGTCTTTCAGTTCTGATGTTTTATGTGTGTAGACTTTGTCCTTCTCTAAACTTTATGCTTTTAATCCCCATCACAACCTAGAGTACAGTGTCAGGCTCACAGACACCCTATAAGTGTATTTCTGGGTTGGTAATTGAATAACAGCTTTGTCCTACTGATAAAGTGATTTTTCATTTTGTGGGGTTTTTTTTAATTTTTAAAAATTTTAAATTTCTTTATTGTTTTCATCATGATAACTGTACTCTTTAATCCCCATCAACTATTTGACCCATCTCTCCACCAGCCTCCCCTCTGGTAAACCATAGGTTTGTTAAAGAATCTTTTTCTTGGTTGTCTGTCTGTCTCTCTCTCTCTCCTTCTCTCTTTTTTCTTTGCTTGTTTGTTTTATTTCTTAAATTACACATATGAGTGAGATCGTATGGTATTTGTCTTTTTCTGACTTACCTCACTTAGCATTATACTCTCTAGCTCTATCCATGTTGTTGCCAATGGCAAGATTTCATTCTTTTTTTTAATGTTTGTTTATCTTTGAAAGAGAGGCAGAGCTCGAGTGGGGGAGGGCAGAGAGAGAGGGAGACACAGAGTCTGAAGCAGGCTACAGGCTCCATGCCATCAGCACAGAGCCCCATGTGGGGCTCAAACTCATGAACCATGAGATCATGACCTGAGCCAAAGTTGTACGCTTAACCGACTGAGCCAACCGGTTATTCTTTTTTATAGCCGAATAATATTCCATTGTATACACATATACTACCTCTTCTTTATCTGTTCATCTATTGATGGACACCTGGGCTGCTTCCATAGTTTGGCTATTTGTAAATAATGCTGCAAGAAACAAAGGGATGCATGTATCCCTTTGAATTAGTGTTTTTGCATTTGGGGGTAAATACCCAGCAGTGCAGTTACTGGATTGTAGGGTCCTTCTATTTTTAATTCTTTGAGGAATTCCATCCTGTTTAAGTCCGTGAGCTTCTCAGTGAAGCTGCACTACAGTAGCTGTCCATTTTTCTCTCGCACCCGCATACCAACTGACCTGTCCATGAACCAAGCTTAGCCTTTTTCCTCCTCTGTCAGCCAGAAATAGGAGCCCTCAACGCATCTGAAGAGGGCTGATTCCAGGATGACCTCCAGGTGTTCACGTTCTTGGGTAATCCCCTTCCCTTCAGTGTAGACAAGTTTGGTGACTTGCTTCTAATCAATGGAATATGGCAAAGGTGATGGGAAGTAGATGACCATGTGAACTTAATACTCTGTATAAGGTTGTAACACCCATCTTCAAGGACACTCCCTGTGCCTTGTTTGCTCTGAAGAAGCAAGTGGCCAGGTTATGAGCTGCCTCATGGGAAGGGACCTGTGACATGGAGCTGAAGGGCGCCTTTGGGTAACAGCCCACTAGAAGCTAAACCCGAGTGTGGCAGTCTGCAAGAACTCTGACAGTAGCCATTGGGGGCTGGATGTGAATCTCTCCCCAGTTGATCCTCAGGTAATAATCACAGCCTCAGTCAATGCCTTGATTGCAGCTTTGTGAAAACCTGAAGAATAGGACCCAGCTAAGTCATGCCCCAAATGCTGACCCACAAAAGCTGTGAAATAATAAATATGTGTTGTTTTAAGCTGCTAAGTTTGTGGTAATACTGTTAATGCAGCAATAGAAAACTAATAAACGGCCAGAAATTTGAGCTGAGAGGCACTGGTACAGAATGGTAGGTGACATGGGATCCTGGGCCACTTGCTTGTGCAGGTTTCTTGTATTCTCTGACCCTGCCCGTGGCTGTTCCCAGACCTACCACTTCCATCTTGTGATGGAATGTTGCTGGTTCCTCCCAACCTTGGTGAATTTGACAGAATGCAGCTCCTGATGGGTAAATCTGGATACTTGGTCACTTGGTGTCCCATGCTTGGGTGCTTAATCTATACCAGGCTCACTGGCACGTGGGAATCTCTTTTCCAGAGGCAAATTTTCTTCTCTGCTGCAGAAGGCAGAAGTTTGCATCAGGACCCTAGGGCTTTGCGTTGTCATCCTGCTCTTCTCCACATGACATCTTTTCTCACCACAGATCACTCGGATACCACAGAGTCTGTGTGACTTACAGCCCATTGATTGTATTGCCCCAGCGGCAGGGATGCTTGCACGTCTGCCTGGATCTGCTGCAAAAACCTTTCCTGCTGACAAGTTTCCTTGTCACTAAGTAAATGAGAACAGCTACTTCTAAATATGGAATCTGCTGCCTCCAGAAACCAAAAGGACTGCCAGGCGTTGTGCTTTCTTCTCAATTGCGTGAGATGTGAGATAGTTTGTCCTGATTCGGTGCGGATGGGAGAATATGTCCCAGCTTGCACCAAACCGCTGTATCCCTAAGAACTTCGCTGATGGGGTGATCCCCTGAACCTTCATTTAGCTTAAGCATCTGTCCTCTGGCTTGCATATGTCTTACCCAGTCCTCCAGGAGCCTTCTTGCTCATCTGATCATTAATATAATAGGTGAATGTGGTCTTTGCAGAATGTCCAGATGGTCCAGGTCCTTACGGCTACATTATGTGAGAGGGCAGATTTAACATAGATCAAAGGCAACGCTGTGAATTTATACTGTGTCCTGTCCCATGTGAATGTGAGGTGCTCTGATCATCCTTCCTAATGAGGACTGAAGAGAATACATGTATGAGATTGATGGCTGTGTACCGTGTATCCAAGGCCATTTAAATCTGACCTGGCACATATACCCTATCTGGTTCAAAGCTGCAGTGGGAGGCTACTGCTTGGTTGAGTCTATGGTAGCCCTCTGTTATCCTCCAGGGTACATTTAGTGTTGGTAGGGGACGTGCTGATGAATGGCACAGGCCTATGATAAGGACCATTCCTGCCTACTTCAGGTATTTAAGGGTAGGACTAGTATTTGCCATATCCCTTCATACGGTATTGTTTTTGATTTAACCGTCTTGGCTGGAAAGGGTACAGTTGTTTCACAGGGTTCTACTTGGCATTCTCCAGTATGATAGCCCTTACACCAAAGGCCAGGGAACCAGTGTGTGCATTCTGCCAACTCCTAAGCATGGCCATCCCATTCTTTTGGGAGCCAGGGAAATTACCATCAGATGAGTGTGTAGAGTGGGTGGGCCTACCATGAACCAGAGCTGGGTCAGAACTCCATTTATTACCCTGGCCCTTATGCACCCCTCTCCAACAGGGGAATTACAAAGATGCTTTGGGTCCCTGGATCTCTCAACTCAGACCATGCATCCAGTAGACCTGAAAGGCTTTGTATTCCTATTTTTTTCAGTGTAGTTATATGAGTAAATCGTTTTGGAGAAGGATTAAGGAAATCATTAGAGCTTTGCCATGGTATTTGCAGGGTCCTCTTTTATGAGCTTCTCTGTCAGTAAGTGGGATTTAGGTTGGAAAACTGGCTCAGGTCTGGAAATGGAGAAAGTGACCAAGACTTTTGATGGTCAGTGCTCTGGTTAGCCTCCTAATTATCCATGTTGGATTTATTTTGGTTCTGTAGATTGCGAAATACTCTGATTTGCTGTCTATCATGTCTCTCAGGATGCTATGCTGTATTAACCACCTCTCCAGCTCTCTGTGACTCAGACCTCTCTGACTGCCTCTGACATTGTCACTCATGATAACAACTGTACCTACCTTGCTTTTGAGAGTTAAGTATTGCCATCTAGCTTCTGTTTTGGAATTCTGTTATCCCCATTGTTATCAGAAAACCCTGTTCTGTCCCAGCATTTGCTACCTGTGGTCTTGGCCTACAGGGGACAGTCCGCCACTGAGCTTCTTAACAATACTGAAGCCCCCCTCAATCAGCACATCCCTTGTCACTTTGAAGAACACTTCATCCTAAGAACAGAGGAGGCTAAGAGCTTTTTGGCCTTAACACAGTACATCCCAATTAGGTGTCCTGATTTCTCCCCCCGGTGTTTGCCACTGGAGTCCACCATTTCGACTTAATGTGGGCCATTGCTTTTTCCAAGTTTCCAAGGGACAACCAAATACTGTCACTGGGACTCTTTGCCAGGATATCAAATCCTATGCCACAGGGTTTTCTCCCTTTTCCATCCAGTGTAGCCCCATCTATTCTCCCCTGCTTGGTCAGTCAGTTTGTGTCACCCAGTCCTGTAGCTCTTTCAGCAGGTAGTCCTTTTCTACCACTAGCCGGCCCAGCATTCTTCACCCCGGCTCTAGCTCTCGTGGTCAGGACTGGAGAGTGTGGTGGGCTGTTGAGGGATAAGGGAAGATATGTCTTGTGTTACAAGGCAGAAACCTCTACATCATCAAGCTTATTCATATATCCACAAGAGAAGAACATCAGCCTTTAACAGCGAAGACTGGGCTATCTCTGTTGTCAGCAGCATTCAAGGAAATAGGAAATTTAAGACTTTCAAATGCACCAGCCCAGATGACCCTGTTTGAAGTCTCAGCATCCTGTTTTTCCCCCAGTCAGGACCTTGACCTTGATGTGGGAGACTAGAGGAGTTGAGAATTTCACCTCCTCTGGAACTCCTGCTCTTACAATTTAGTTTTGGGGTCTGGCCTACAGAGTGTGTGTGTGTGTGTGTGTGTGTGACAGAGAGACAGAGACAGTGACAGAGAGAGCGAGATCGACAGAGAATCCCTAGCAGGCTCTGAGCTGTCAGTATAGAGCTCGACTTAGGGTTCCATCTCATGAATCATGAGATCATGACCTAAGCTGAAATCAAGATTCAGACACTTAGCCCCTTAACCACCTGAGCCACCCAGATGTCCCCCACAGATTTTTAATCTTATTTTTTTTGACTGCAGGATATGTGATCATTTTATATGCTCCCAATTGGCCCTCTGGCTTTCACACCTGGTCTGGTACAGCAATGAATCACCGTCAGCCTTTGTCTTTTTTTAATTAATAAGCGCTCCCTCCCGCAAAATGGCCATCCAATTCCAAAATTCACATAATTACTATTTCCTACAATCCCTAAGATATTGCATCAGTTGGTGTACTCGTTTCCGCTAGCATCCCATTCCAGTTTGCCACTGGTTCAAGTTTTAACAATTGCCACAGCATTCCAGAGGCTCTCAGTGCTCCATTATCACCAACGATGGGTCTCAGTACCACCAGGCTGGCAGGTGATATAACTACAAAACTGCATCGTGGAGTCTTTTTCTAGGACTACCTTATGCCTGCCATCATGAGTTGAATCTATAGGATACAGATTTTGAGATGTGAATGGAAGGTTCTTATTGGTTGGTACTTAGGGGACAACACCTGAGAGAGCTCAGGGAAGCAGGACTGGGCAGTACTGTGGTGCAAGTGCACAGGAGATGTGGAGCTGGGACAGTCCGTGAGCTGTGCCACCCCAAGGCAAAGAGGTTAAGCTTTCATACCCCTCCTAGACAAGTCCTTGAAGGTGGGCTACCTCCAAGGAAGGAATGCAATTTTGGCCGCAGTGGCTCTGGCTCTGTGTGGCTGAGGACAATTTCTGGAGAGGACTCAACTGAGAGCTGTCCGCTCTCAGCATTCCCAGCAGCTGAGGAAGTGAGTGTCTCAGTCCTGAAAGGTAGCACACCAGAGCACGCACTACACTTACATTTCCTGTTTTCAAAATTGACACTGTCATTCACTATTTAATCCTTCCCACTCCTAACAGCAATCTTCTTTTATTTTCCACGCAGGATTTCTAGTGGCCCCATGAAGCATAATCTGTCTACGGTTCTGTCCTATTTCAAAAGGCAACACACTAAGTAGTGTTGTACTCAACTTTTAAAAACCCTCTTTTAACATTAAAAAACTTCACAATCTCCACATAATACCATAGTAGTAACTGAATGAATATCGGTTTTTAAAAAAGCAAAAGCTATTATAAAGTTATTAATTGGTTTAATCACATGAGCACCCATGATTACTACAAACAAAGTAGTATGTAATTATATAAAGACTTTTTTTTGTTCTGGTGACAGAGACAGTGCTTGGCACCCACATAAAATTATGAAATGCTAGGGGCATCTGGGTGGCTCAGTCAGTTAAGCGTCTGACTTTTGGTTTCAGCTCAGGTAATGGTTTCACAGTTCGTGGGCTCAAGCCCCACGTTGGGATCTGTGCTAACAGTGCTGAGCCTGCTTGGGATGCTCTCTCTACCTCCCTCTCTGCCCCTCCTGAGCGCACACACACTCTCTTTCTCTCTCTCTCACAATAAATAAATAAACTTGAAAAAAATCTATTTAAAAAAAAAAGATTATGAAATACCTATGTTCGGATGTGTTCAGCTGTGTTCAGGAATGAAATGGTTGGCTAAGAAGGCAAGTGAGGTTGAAATATGGCCCAGCCTCTAATCACCAACTTTTTCACCCCATTAAGGGGCTGAGGATACGAGAGGAATGTTAAATTTTAAACCAACTGCCCAGGCAGGCTATCATTCAGGTCTCCTTTTCCTACTTATGATAATGGTACCTCTGTGCCACCCCTGAACCTGCCCAGTGACTAATTATAAGTCTTAACTCTAGGGTCAAACAGTCCTAGATGTGGATTCTGGCTTTCTTGCTTATTTGCAGTTACCCTTATCCAAGCCTCGGCTTCCTTATCTGTAAAATGGGAATATATCTCCTGTGTGATTGTGGTGTTTGTTCAGGTAGTAACTGAATACCACCTACCTTCACAGATCTTCATCAACTTTATTATAGAGGTATAACTTACATACAATAAAACATACACACACTAAGTGTGCATTTTCACAGGTTATGACATTGTAAACCAGTGACAATATAGATAACCTGTGTGTTTTTTATGCTCCAGAAATTGTACCAGTCCCTGTGAGAGTCAGAAAGTAGTATAAAGGATACTTAATCTGGTCAACCCCTTGATTATGTTGGGCTTGGTATATATGTACTCAGAGCCCTACTACCTCTTCCTAACACACATCACAGTCACCTTCCTAGGTTGTAAAGCTACTTGAAAGCAAAGACCTACTTTGTTTCCTGATGTATCCCCAGGACCTAGAAGTGTCTAGGCACTTTGTAAGCACTAGTTAAAAAACAAATGAATAGACATGTAAAATTAACAGTGAAAATCCTGTTGAGCTTGTACCAAACAACATTTACAGTCATTCATTTAGAGAAGACCCCATCAACCTTATGGGTTAGGGGAAATGCCTGCAGCAAAGGTAGCATTTAAAGAGAGTCAGATTTCAGTGAGATGTAGGAAAAGTTCAGAGCTAAGAAATGAGTAAAGATAAAGACTTGCCTAGGGTCCCTAGGGCATGTGTCATGGTGGGGTTAAACATTATCATCAATCTTCTGACTTTCATTGAGCACCTGCACCACCAGGTTTCTGGGACTAGAAGATGCCAGAGCAACTGCACGGAAAAGTGTTCCCTCTCACCAACAGCCAGTTACTAAAATATGAGCCACATGCATTCAAAAGGGCACAGACCTCAACTTCAGACTTCTGAGGTCTCTCCCTTTATTAAAAAAAAAAAAAAATTTTTTTTTAATGTTTATTTATTTTTGAGTGAGAGAGATAAGAGTGCAAGCGGGGCAGGGGCAGAGAGAGAGAGGGAGACAGAATCAGAAGTAGGCTCCAGGCTATGAGCTTTCAGCACAGAACTCGCTTCTGGGCCAGAACCCACGAATCGAACCGTGAGATCCCGACATAAGCCAAAGTCTGATGCTTAACCAACTGAGCCACCCACGCGCCCCTCTCCCTTTATTATTTTTTTTTAATTTTATTTATTTTGAGAGAGAGAGAGGTGGTGAGAAAATCCCAAGCGGGCTAAACACTCAGCTTGCAGCTCCATGTGGGGCTCAAACTGTTGAGATCATGACTTAGATGAAACCAAGAGTCCGGAGGCTTAATGAACTGAGCGGCCCAGGCGCCCCTGGTGTCTCCCTTTTAAGCACAAAGCTTGCCAGGCAACCACCAAGGTGGAGGAAGAGAACAGGATAACCAGGGTGCCCTCTGTGCCCAAGGACCGACTCCACCCTCCCCAATCCCCATCTTTTATTAGGGGAAACTAGGTTGCTGGCCAAACTGTGTCCCGGCAGACACGTCAGGGAGCAGCCCCAGGACCACCAGTGAAATTCGCGGCGCGGTACAAAGTCTGTAGACCCGTGGCTAAAAAGAAAACGTGCTTCCCGAGGCCCTCCGTGGACCGCAGGTTCCGGGGAGGCCACGCCCCGTCCGGCCCCGCGTGGGAGCCGTCGCGGACCCTCCCCGCCACGTTCGCTGAGCATGCCGGGGCCGTGGCGCCCAGCTTCCCTGGCCCTGCCGCCTCCAGTCCGAGGACTGCACGGGGACAGCGTGGACCTTCACTTACAACTCCTTGCCAGTCCTGCCCCAGGCCGTGCGACCCCCAGAGCCCGTCCCCTGTGCAAATAAAACGGGGTGGAAGTTGAGGGCTCGGTGGACGCGGAGCGTGCGCGGCGAGCCGGAAGTGACGCGCTCCGTGCCCGCGTTTTCCCGCCCTGCCCTTCGCCGGCCGTTCCGCGGCGGGAACCGGGACGAGGCTGCTGTCGGCGGCTACTGTAAGTGTCACCCGGCCTGGCGGCTCGGGGCCTCTTAGGCCTGAGAGTCTCACATGGGGGAACGTAGCTGGGATTTCGCGGCCACCTTGCCCCTTCCCTGTCCCGGGAGCCGCGGGGAGGACCCTGCGGCATCCTCGCCCCAGAGAGGAGCGGCTGAAAGGCCCAGGCAGTGCCCGGGAGCAGGCGAGCCAGGGAGAACAGGCGTCCTACCGGAGAAACTGCAAGGGTGGCCTTCGCTTGCCTCAGCTCCTTGCGCCCGTGATGTCCCTGTGATGTCTTCCCACCCCTCGCCCCCGTCAGCAAAATGGTAGCTCAGGGCAGCATCTTGCAGAGCCCTGCTTTGGCTTGTTTAGTAATTACTGCCACCTGTGGCAGTGATGGAACGATCCAGTACCGTTAAAAAGCTTGGCTGTTTACAGTTACTAACCATTTTTTTTTTTTTTTTTTTTTTACCGAGGATTTACTCCTATGCCAAGCACAGAAGTATGTGTACGCAGAAAGATGCTTTTTCTGTGTATTTCTTTTTAAAAATTTAAGTTGACATACGATATGAGATTCGGGTGTACACCCGTGATTAAACGTTTGCATACATTGCGAGACTATTGACTACAGTCCCTGTGCTGTAGGTTACATCCCGTGACTTTATTTTATAACGGAAGTTTGTACTTGTTAATCCCCTTCATTCTTTCTGCCCCCTCCCTTCTGACAAGCACCTGCCTGTTCGACTGAGTCTGGGTTTCTGTTTGTTTTGTTTTTTAGATTCCACACGTAAGTGAAGTCATGCAGTATTTGTCTTTCTCGGTCTTCAGTTAGAATACCTCCACGGTCCATCCATGTTGCCACAAGTGGCAAGATTTTTTTTCTTTTTTATGGCTGAGTAACACCATGTGGGTGTATCACATCATCTTTATCCATTTATCCATTGATGAACACTTAAGTTGTTTCCATATCTTGGCTGTGATAAATATTGCTGCATTGAACATAGGGGCGCATAGGTCTTTTTGAATATCCAATAGTGGAATTGCTGGATCTTAGGGTAGTTCTGTTTTCTAATATTTTGAGGAAACTCCATACTGTTTTTCATAGTGTCTGCACCAATTTAATTCTCACCAACAGGGCATGAAGGCTTGCACAATTCTTTTATTTACCTTTTATTCTTTTATTAACTGCCTTATGGAATAGGCCTTAGCTCCTTTTACAGCAGGAGAAGCTGAGTCTGATAAATGGTAATTCAGACACCAAGTATTATGGAGCATCTGTCATGTATTAGTTATTGCTCTAGACACTAGGGAAGAGCAGTGAAAAGAACAGAATTTTTGGGCACGCTAATGATGCTCTCCTATCCCTAAAGCAGCCTTCTGCTGTCTGTAAGAAAGGTTATCTGAATGGTAGTAGTTGTTTTCTGGGTGAGATTTTCACATGACTTTTTAAAACAATTCATACTTCCCCACTTTGTTTTGATGTCATCAAATGAGCATGTTGTTAAACAAAAGAAGTGTTTCCATTTTAACAACAGAGTCCCAGACCCGACCCTCCCCACCAAACAGCATCTTCAGAGTCAGTGGTAGTCGTGGGCCCTGCCAGTAATAAAAGGTCCTTGAGTGGAAGCTCTAGGCCCAAGAAAAGAAACGAAAGTTCTCTTGTGTGGTCCCAACTACTCATTTCTAAGTCCGCCCCAGAGTCTGAGCTAAAGCTAGGCCCATTACTGAAATGGAAGAGACTGTAGAAATCAAAACCACACTGAGATACCACCTCAAGCTGGTCGGAGTGGCTAAAATGAGCAAATCAGAGGACTTTAGATGCTGGCGAGGATGTGGAGAAACGGGCACCCTCCTCCACTGTTGGTGGGAATGTAAATGGGTGAAGCCCCTCTGGAAAACAGTGTGGAGGTTCCCTCAAAAAATTAACAATAGAGCCCCCCTATGACCCAGCAACAGCACTGCTAGGAATTTACCCAAGGGATACAGGAGTGCTGATGCCTAGGGGCACATGGACCCCAATGTTCATAGCAGCACTCTCAACAATATCCAAAACATGGAAAGAGCCTAAGCGTCCATCAGCTGACGAATGGATCAAGAAGATATGGTTTATCTATACAATGGAATACTACATGGCAATGAGAAAGAATGAAATCTGGTCATGTGTAGCAACGTGGATGGAACTTGGAACTTGAGGGTGTTATGCTAAGTGAAATAAGTCAGGCAGAGAAGGACAGATACCATATGTTTGCACGTGTAGGAAGATTAGGAGGAACTTAACGGAGGACTGTGGGGGAGAAGAAGGGGAAAAATAGTTGGGGAGAGGGAGGGAGGCAAACCATGAGAGACTCTTGAATGCTGAGAACAAACTGAGGGCTGATGGGGGTGGGGGGAAGAGG